CGTGTGTATGTGTATGTGCGGCTGCTTGTACTAGCCCAGACTTAAGCTGGTTTTATAGTGCTAGCCCACTGAGATACTAGTGAAGCATGAATACCCCACTCAGACACATTATACTGACTCCGAGCCGACCAGTCCTTGTTGTACCCATTAATGCCGAGCGCCAGGCAGGGACCAACAGGTACCATATTTTAACGTGTTTTGGTGTGACGCGGTCGGGGATCGAACCCGCGACCTTGGAGAAATAAATAGTACAAACAAATGGTTAAGATTCTTGTTAAGACCTAGATTTGCATGTACAGTCCGTGATATCGTCCGAAAGGCCAGGTTCGTTCCCCACATTGGTACAATGAGTGAACATGGGTGGTGTCCGGGAGCCGTGATATTGGTGGGATTTTGCTGAAATCGACTAAAAACCATTCTAACATACTCGCGATATCATATACATCCATTTACAAACATGTTATAAGTTCAAAACTTGCACTGCGGTTGGGGTAGACTAGCGGTTAAAGAGTTCTCTCGCCACGCCGAAGACCTGGGTTCGATTCTCCAGATGGACACAGTGCGTGATGATCATTTTTTATGTCCCCCGCTGCGTCTTCTTCGATATTGCTAAAAGCGGCGTAAAACCATATTCACTTACAGGTTACTTAATAGTTGCAGTCGAGTAACAGAGACAAGTTATTCACTGTCATACCAACGTTTAACTGATTTGTCTTGCCACAATCTATTTACATAGATAATGACTTTGTAATTTGACTCCTATATAAAGCAACAAAAATGCTGACTTGTTAAATGTGCATGATATGCTGTACTCAGATCAAAGAGAAATAAAGTGATAAAAACAAAACAACATTTAACGGATTTATGAAACGTTCAAAGTTGACATTTCAGTCGACCCAAAAAGGACCCTTGCCCTTTACTCGACTGACTTACTGAATTTGGTTTTACGCCGCTTTAAGCAATATTCCAGCAACATCACGGCGGGGGACACCAGAAATGGGCTTCACAAATTGTAATCATGTGGAGATTCGAACCCGGGTCTTCGGCGTGACGAGCCAACGCTTTAACCACTAGGCTACCCCACCGCCCCCCTTTACTCAAGGCTTCATCACCTCTTTATGAATTTATATTAGAAGAATATTAATAATTTGCATGTTGCGACATTAAATGATAAGGTCATCAGGGAAATAGAGCGGACTTGTGTTTTAAATATAAATGAAACTGAAATAATTAAATGCGTTCAATGTATCATTTGAGCAATTTTCAGGGACGTCAAAAGTGATGAGTGAGTGAGTTAATTTAGTTTTAAGGCGCTTTTAGCAATATTCCAGCAATATCATCGAGGCGGGGGGCACCAGGAACGGGCTTCGCACATTGTACCCATGTGGAAAATCGAACCCGGGTCTTTGGCGTGACGAGCGAACGCTTTAACCACGTATTATGTAACTGTCTGCAAAATAGGGTAAAATCGATCAATAGAACCTCAAAAGTTCAACCATGATCGTTGTGCCCTTAGCTGTGTTATATCCGGCAGGTGGTACCGCAGTTTACACGGTGAAGTGATCAAATGAAGATATGAGAATGACAAATCACTGACCATTGGCAGGTGCGGTGTGTCGAGACAAAGGACACACAATGACCAACCCTCAGGCACCAAGCCTACCAGTTCAATGGGGTTCAGCGTTTGATGTATGTCATTGTATCTAAATTGCGGAGATCGATGCTCATTTACATTTACATACTAACATTTGTATAGCGCCGATATCCAGATCAGCTGCTCAAAGGCGCTTTGTTTTTCCCTCGATCACTGGATGTCAATCTCAACGGCACGTCGTATTATCAATCTCAACTCCTTGGGGATCATACAACTCTTGCAGCCACTAGGCACTATGTTCATGATGTCAGTCACTATATTGCCTTGATCAGACTCAGTGTTTTACAAATGACCGCCTTGTAGCCGAAATGTTGCTGGGTAAGGCTTACGTATAATGATAACATTAAATCACTCATGGTGACTTTTTAAAAATAATTTATTTATTTTTTAATTCCCAGCAGATGTGTATACATAAGTGTGCATCGATAGATGATAATTATTGTTCATATTGTATGTGAAATGCAGCTAATACAGGTTTGACTATATCTGATAGCCATTGGGCCCAAGTCAGTATTACATTATCCATTATTTCTCAGCAGATGTTACATATACATAAGTAAGCGTATGTACATATTCTTGTTTCGTATTGTGTATGAAATACGGCTTGTGCAGGTTTGACAACATATGGTAACATGCAAGGTATAAGTCATTTTTACATTACCCATTATTTCCCAACAGATGTTTACATCTACATAAGTATGTATAGTATTGTTTATGTTGTACATGAAAAACGGCTAGTGTAGGTTTGACTGTATCTAATAACCTGCAATGCATAAGTCATTTTTATATGAAAGCATACTCTTTGGAGTCTGAATATTGAACTCACAAGTCTAAAAATAGTGAGGAAAGAGGAACTCATTGTGACTTCCGTACAAACATACAACAAAGTTCAATCTATTGCAAACTTTTATTTCTGACATTACATGCATTTTTAAACTGTAAACATAAAAATCAGACAATCTGTAGGGGCATTGCGAGAACATCAGGCCTGAGTAATTCGTTGGTATGTATGTATATATATATATATATATATATATACCGATAAACACCCTGTTCAAATGAACGACATTCAGTTCGAAGTACCAAAGAAGATACAATACCCACTGCTTATCCTTCTGTGATATGTTTTACAATAGAGCTGTGACGATATATCGTAGTATCGATAATCGTGATACTTCATCTGACGATAAATATATCGATACTTTTTTGTATCGTGATATGTATCGTTGACCTTAAAAATGTTAATTTTCACTAGTAAGTGGCGGTTATGTAAACATTTACACTGTTACTTGCTATCAAAAAATGTTTTTTTCAAGAAAATAACTAAAGGTAGCATATCGTAATATGCATCCAATCGAATCGTATCGTTCCAAGATATCGCGATACGTATCGTATAGTGAAATTTCTGTATCGTCACACCTCTATTTTACAAGCAGCATCACTAGTGAGTTTGGTTCAATGCCCTTTAACATCCACAAATAAATAGACACATGGTGAAGAATGTTGACACACGACGTGGTTCAACCACAATACATACACTCACATCATGCATAAATGCATGAGTGACATCCTTTCCGGACCTCATTCTATGATTTCTACACTATTGCTGTTACATGCAAGGTTTAATTCAAATTTGTTTTGTCTGAGAAGTGAATGAGTGAATTAAAATTTAAAGTCACATCGGAAGAATGTCTGCAATATCGTGACAGTTTGCTTGATGAAAGTAGGAACATCATATATACCTAAGTCTCTCAATAAGTTATAAACAATCGTGCTCTTTATAAAACAGAACTTATAAGTGACATTTTATGGATAAAAGCCTTCCTAATTCATTATTTCTAGGAAAGGAATAAATTCTTTGCCCATTCTCCGTCCGATTATTGATGTTAGTTCGATGTTTATTTTAATTTTAATTTGCACAAATGTTTTGGCAGTTTATCTTTGTTTTGTTTTCAATCGTGCCAATGTTTCTCAATTTACCAAAGTCACAAAATCGTAGTAAACATCTAAAACCCAGGTGTTGTTATACACTACAAATGTACATTGTGTTTTTCAACGTATTACCGTACTGGCTATAGCTGTTTTCACAAGTACAATGAACTTCGTTTGACAAGGCCTTCAAGTGAAAAGTTGTCCTGTTTAAAGATGAAAGCAAGGTATCAGAACGTAATAATATTTATAGACTGGTAAGCGTTTCTGACAGTTATCGTGACGACAGCAGAGTTTCCAAATTTACGAAGCCAGCCTGTTTAAACGTAACAGAAGTTATCAAAACGTTTCAGAATTATTTCCGTTCCTTGTCAAACTTATCTGAGGACATTGGCGTGGAGAATGCTTAATAAATTACTTACAAATACGACCGTTTCCAAGATTTGGTTTTCCATCTTGTCATGTGGAGAAAGTGTGAGATATATCTAAAACACGGTATTTGTGATGATGAGTTTTAAGCGTGTTCTCTCAGTACATAGAATGTCATTCTGCATACGTTTTATGAAATGCTCCATTTGGAAAGTACTTAGCAGCGGGCACTGGCAGGCCTGAGACCCTTGTTGAGGTATAAACGACATGAAATAACAAAATGACACCTATGATAAACATTTCACAGATTCCTGCATCACTCGTGAAGAATACGGTCACGACAAACGAGGCAGGGGAAGACGTGTCTCCAGCGAGAGAACATAGCATTCATTCCATCCATCCATCCATCCATCCATCCATCCATCCATCCATCCATCCACCCATCCACCCACTCACTCACTCACTCACGCACTCACTCACGCACGTATGTAGTTATTGATTTCCAAAAGATAACTATATTTTGGAGCCCAACTCAAGTCGAGCAAGAGTTATATTGGGCTCCTATTTCTCAGTCACTCGCTCGCTCGCTCGCGCACGCACACACGCACACACACATGTAGATATAAATTTCCGAAAGGAGTCCAACCCAAGTCAAGCAACAATTATTTTGGGTTCCTCTTTCTTACTTACTTACTTACTTACTTAAAGTGCATGCATGGAGTACACTTGATTTAACCTGTTAAAAATTTACACACCCTCATTTCAATACTGAGAAACACGTCAGCACTTCCCTATATGGCGTCCGTATGAATTCACTGGGAATGAGGAACGAAGACTCGTCGTCGTGGTGTTGTATCACTGACCAGTGGATGAGAACAAAATGCGGATATAGATGGCAATGAAATGTGATGACAATAAATACGATTCATAATCTAAATTACATTAGCACTGTCACGTCGGTGTTTTACACACACGTCATATAGACAGATCCGATAAACGAACTGCGCATATGTTTCACATTTATCACAGTACAAAGTTTGACGCCATCTTAGACACCCAGATTTAATGCTGTGCATGTTTATACTATATCACTTTGGCCACATATGGTCGCATATGGTCTGGTGTATGTGATCCTGTTGAATAGAAACGGGATATTCGTCAAACATCCCAATTATGTATTCTATATCGGGATAACCAGTCTTTGGGTGATCACAGCTCAGTGCATTCAGTCTTAAACTGTCCACTCGCACTGCGATTGTATTGAATCCGTGCCTTATTGGTTGCTCTGTGAAATACGTGCGTGAGTCTCTATAACTTAACAAATATACGACATAATTCCAACGTAGCTCTAAACTAGTATACAACATGAGACGTATTAACGTCCAGCACTCATTACAGTTCTAAAAACAACATACAACACCGATACAACATGGACGTTCAAATCCAGAACCACGAACTGGTTCCAGTGCATCAAGAAGCGACGCCTACTTCCGGAAAGACTCAACATGAGCAACAACTGTTTTCAGGAGCAAGGGAATCCTTTGAATCCTTTCTCAGTGACAGGGGTTTGATTTCCATTGCCAGAGAGTTTTTCCTGGAAGCTACCTCCATTATATTGTCTATGAGCTTCTCAAACAGTCGGATGACGTTGTAGTTCTTAGCCACGTCCATTTCCGTGTACGGAATTTCCAAGTGTTCGGCGTGCTTATCTCCCCTTTGTCGCGTCACTTCCCGTTCCGGTGACATGCATTTATTGCCCACCATTATCGCTGATACGTGTTGAGCAGGGCCGTACGTCTCCAAGTCGGCAGACCTGAAACAAGTGGAAATACAACATTGATTGGAATACATATTGTAACTTCTATACATTCATAAACATAAGACATACGAGACAATTTGCCAAAAATTCCAACGAATGTCGTCCGAGATTTGTTGAGAAAACTGTGTGTGAAATACCGGAATCCCTCACATATGACACCCAGGTATCATTCGGAGACAGGACATTTAGCAAGCAATAGGCATCCCCAACGACAATAAATGTGTTCCCATGGTCCCTAATCTAATTATCTACGGGAAATAACTGTTATATATCGTGGCTATGTGGGATATTGAGCTCGTACCTACGGCGTGACGAGCGAGCGCTTTAACCCCAAGTCTATCCCACCACCCCAGTATTATTCACAAGAATGGGGGTGACTCTTGTTCTATTTAATGTTGACTCCGCTGATGGGAAATACAACGGAACACTTGTAAGTGATGCAGGAGAATGTTTACATTGTATTTCACTACACTTATCATAGGCGGATCCAAGAAGGGGGGGGGGTGGGGTTACAGGGGTGTGCACCCCCTTTTGTGCTGAAAGTTTGTTAAATGACTATTGAAATTCGGGACGGCCCGATTTTCAATGGTCATTTAACAAACTTTCAGCACAAAAGGGGGGTGCACACCCCGTCAGTGACAGTATATACCTTGATGGCAGTTTTTAGCGTTACAAGCCCCTGTGCACTTACCAAGCACCCCTGAAGGTCCGGGTTAGAGTGAACCTTCAGTCACACATGCTTGTCGTAAGAGGCGACTAACGGGTTCGGGTGGTCAGGCTCTCTGGCTTGGTTGACATGTCATCGGTTCCCAATCACGCAGATCGATGCTCATTCTGTTGATCGCTGGATTGTCTGGTCCAGACTCGATTATTTACAGACCGCCGCCATATAGGTGGAATATTGCTAAGAGCGGCGTAAAACTAAACTCACTCACTCACTTTACCAAGCAATACCACCAATAAATTTCGTCTCAGAATTCCAAAGGTTTAATTATACAACATATTCCCCAAATAAATTATCAATAAACCAATGTATTTTTAAAATAATTTAGTACTGAAACAGTTTATTATAATACAAAACATACCTAAAACAATTTGTCTTGAAAATAAACTATCCAAATAGAACAATTATTTTTTCTAAGTATCACTTATCAATAAAACACTGGAGTTGAAATTATTTAAATTATTCTTAAGACAATGTAGCTGGAATGTGAGTTATTCCTATAACAATCTCGTTCAAATATAAATTATTCATTAAAAACATGTGTAGCATGATGAAATACATTGAAGGGTAAAATAAATAATACCAAGAGTTTTTTAATGTAATTGAAAATTAAAAAAATATAAACCTCTCACTTTGTCATTTTAATCACCATTCATTCCTGTGATATTGGGTAAAGAGTAGTCTAGTGATGGTTAATTTGTAAATGAATAGTGGTTTAATTAAAAATGGGATAGGAAATGAATTTGCAAACCACATCACCCTTTCCATGTTCGAAATGCAAATGTGTGCCGTAAGAAGGAAGTTTGTTGACAAGATGATACGTCTAACACACCCATCAGCACTTGATTATTTTCCGAAATATTATATTTTGATTTGTAAAATGTTCTAAATCAATTTTTTAACGACAGAACCACGTAGATGTATTGTTTGAGAGTACACAAGTAGGGTTGAGTTTTTATTATACATATCACTACTTCAGATAATTATAATTAAAAATCAAACATAGAATTAAATTAATGTTAGGATCTACTAAAGAATAGTCTTCTGCCTCGCTACCCAACTGCGTAGATCGATGTTCATGCTGTTGATCAATGGATTGTCTGGTCCAGACTCTTTTATTTACAGACCGCCACCATATAACTGGAAAATTGTTGAGTGCGGCATAAAACTACACTCAGTCACTACAAGGAGCCTAAGTTAATGAATTCTTTTTCAATTTTAAGAAAAAGTTTTAAGAAACGTAGATTTCAGTCTGGTCTAGATGTCTGGTCCAGACTCGATTATTTACAGACCGCTGCCATATAACTGGAAAATTGCTGAGTGCGGCGTAAAACAATAAACAAACTATAAACAATAAATAAACTCACTCACTTACACTTGGACTAATACAGAAGTGTCTCACGTGTTCGGTGTTTAGGCGACCTTTGCCTTATGACGTTATGGTGATTGAAAGGTATTGACACGTATCTATATCAGTGGGTGTTCCCGAATAAGACGCGACTCTATCCGATATGTATGACAGTAGCGAGTTAATACCTTGCACAGCAATGGTAACAATATGCGTGATGTACGGTCGCTTGTGACCGTTGGAATTCATACTGTCCTTTTTATTATATAACCTGACAATAAAATACATTTTACCATGCTTTTGTATCAATTAAAAGAACACAAATGATAGATGATGTATGTTAAAGCTGTTGAAAAGATCAACACCTCAACAAAATACGACCCATAGCACCCCGCATGGCACGTGTCTTGGAACGTGTTTGCCACGTCAACTCGTTGGCGTTGTTGTCTGCAAGGACGTCCCGAACAATTCGAGCTGTATGGGGTCTGGCCGTGTCATGCAGATGAAGGATACCACATGGGGGCTATTGTAGAAATGGTAGGACAATTAGGCACAGAATGTCATCCGTGTAACGCTGAACCTGAGTCAACGATGACCAGTGGTGTTCTATCCTGTCCACAAATTCCTCATCAAACCATCAGATCCCCTCCACACCATACAACCCCCTGAACACAACATCCCAGCTAACAATTTCACGTTGTCACAACGTTGTCACAACGTTATGCTTTCGTTGTTACAACGTCATTCTGAGGACTCCCTTATACGTTGTCACCACGTTGTGACCTGACGTTGTGATACGTCATTTATACCCGTGAAGATCCGGGTCAGAATTGGACGTCAGCAATCCATGCTTGTCGTGAGAGGCGACTTCAGGGATCGGGTGGTCAGGCTCGCTGACGTGGTTGACACATGTCATCGTATCTCAGTTGTGTAGATCGATGCTCATGCTGTTGATCACTGGATTGTCAGATCCAGACTCGATTATATACAGACTGCCGCCATATAGATGGGATATTGCGGCGTAAAACAACTAACCAAACAACCAATGTGTTTAGATACGTCTGACATGAATAACTAAACATGTGTTCGTGTTATGTTATGAATATGTGTAACATTACAAAAACCAGTTACTACAGTCAGACACCTCTGTTAGGATCATTTAATTCAATTAAATATACTATTCACACTTTGCTAAGGATCAAATGATGGATTCAACAGAAATCTATTATGTGGGGTCAAATTTGGTTAAAATGCCTAAGCTTATTCGAAGCATGGATCCTAGGTTTCAGTGTGTCATTGCATCTTGTGGATCCCATACCTGCTATTGACACATGTTGTTTATTGTCAATGACTGGTTCCATGATTTGCAAAATGGTTGATTAGTGCCATGAAAACCACTTTTATGGTTACTCGTGTATCAAGTGCATAAGGTTAGATTAAAGTGATTATTTGCCTAATGAGGGGTTACCATATTATTATTTATCCAGTTTTAAATGGATACAATTTCAAATGATAAATCTACGTTTAAGTAAAGTTGTGAATGATCCTTAGCAAAGTGTGAGTAGTATATATAGAACGATATAGAACAGTAGCGCCATGATGTATATCATGAGTAACGGACGAACAATACACGTGGCGATACACGTAGTAATCATCATATAATATCACAGTGGGTGTGCGTGTGTGCGTGTGTGCGTGCTATCCTATACAAATTGTTAATTTCATATACAAAACGTATTTTAAGTGAGGATAAGCATTTCTTTAAAACATTAATGTAATCGTGTTATTTGAAATTAGAGAGCGACAACTTGTCAAGATTGTCTATTTTTGACCCAAGGTTATCATTAATTATGACACGTTTACCTAGTCACACATTTCATATCCCGTGGCCATTGACAAGTATATGTCCGTTTATAGCATGCTAACTGTATATATATCAACATGGATCTATTTCAAGATGTTAGTGAACACGATGTTAGGCATGTTGTTATCTGACACCTCTAAGCCTGGTCAGAGATCACCAACCGCTGCTGGACAAGTACAACGAGGTCACTGAGTATTTGGATTTAATAAGCGTTAGACGTAATGTAAGACAACCTTTCACAACACTTATCCTACTACAAAAGTTTTCATTTTGAAAAGCCCCCGATCTCCTCCGTGGTACAGTGGATGGACTGTTAACCTGAAAATCGATTGTTCGATCCCCGGTCGTGTTGTACCCAAAGAAGTTAAAATATGGTACATGTCGTTACCCTGCCTGGCGCTCGGGGATAAAACAAACATAGTTCGTCTCTGAGTCGGTGCACAGAGTGAGTGAATGTAGTTTTACACCGCTTTTAGCAATATTCCCGCCATATCACGGCCCAGAAATGGGCTTCACACATTGTACCCATGTGGGGATCGAACCCGGGTCTTCAGCGTGACGAGCGAACGCTTTAACCACCAGGCTACCCCATCGCCCCAGGTGTACAGAGTAGGGTATCTACAGTCAAAAGCAACTTGGTATCTCGGTGAGCGTTCATTTCATAAGCTGCCTTAGTTTGGATGCTAAGTTACACGCTCGCACATATTCACACACATGCACATGTGCGAACACCTTGAATATAGTTTTACGCCGCTTTTAGCAATATTCCAGCAATAACACGGCGGGGGACACCAGAAATGGACTTCACACATTGTACCCATGCCATTCAGACGAGCGATGCTAAATACAACACCATTATAATATAGAATAACAAAGGTTTTGATGAGATGAGCTGAATTGGGTTTAACGTGCGTTCAAGGTGTTTACGGGGCGGTGGGGTAGCCTAGTGGTTAAAGCGTTAGCCCGTCACGCGGAATGTCCGGGTGCGATTCCGCATATGGGCACAATGTGTGAAGCTCATTTCTGGTGACCCCCGCATTCTGAAACGCATTCTGCAACTCACCAATTTTGGATATTATGAAACGTCTCCTCCCTTGTGACGTCATACATGAGTATGCACCCATGGGCACCTCGGTAGTAAGATGACGTCAAACTGCGGTAACGCTCTTGTCCTGTAAGTAAACATAGATGTGCTTGAGATGTCAGTATATGTGTTCAGCTGATTCAACAGTGTATGGAATAGTGTAAGGGACGTTGTCGCGTTCTCGCACCATCGTAATCGTGCAATCATTCATTAATGATGAAAGTGCGAAAACACATTAGAAAAAGTTCTACATGAATCAGTCTACCGGCAAAATAACAATGTTATTCGCGCGCTACACTACGTGCCTTGAAGTCAGTTTGTATTGTATACACTGTCATATGTTCGTTTATTTATTTATCATCATCATCATCATCATCATCATCATCATCATCAATGGACCCGTGAAGATCCGGGTTAGAATTGGTCTTCAGTAACCCATGCTTGTCGTAATAGGTGACAAAAAGGGTCGGGTGGTCAGGCTCGCTAACTTGGTAAACACATGTCATTGCATCCAACAGCGTAGAACGATGCTCATGTCGTTGATCACTGGATTGTCTGGTCCAGACTCCATCATTTACAGACCGCCGCCATATAGCTTGAATATTGCTGAGTGCGGCGTAAAACTAAACTCACTCACTCACACATCATCACTCAAGTCACGTTCGGACCACTTATGTGCCAAGATTTGTCAGTTTTTCTCCCACGTCAAGCCAACGCCCGTTATACAACACACTCACTAACTTAGATACCTGTCAGTGTAACGTTAAACACCACTCACTCACTCATCATCAGCCTACTTAGTATATTGGGGCGGTGGGGTAGCCTAGTGGTTAAAGCGTTCGCTCGTCACGCCGAAGACCCGGGTTCAATTCCCCACATGGGTACAATGTGTGAAGCCCATTTCTGGTGTCCCCGCCGTGATCTTGCGGGAATATTGCTAAAAAGCGGCGTAAAACAATACTCACTCACTCACTTAGTATATTGTTGCTGATAATATTGTCATGCTCATCATCATTACTATTATTAGTATCATCACTATTCTTCTTGTTGTCAGCAATATATCCAGCTACATAAACGTCTGGACCTGTAAATACTATAAATCTATCCCCTGCTCCAGTTAAAGCCCAACGAAAACTCTAATATAGTCAACCTCAACGTGATAAAGTTTCAGGCCATGTCAGTTCACATGATCTCAACGTGTTAAATTCCCATAGCTATACAAAGGCTGTGCTTATATGATTAGTCACGCGGGCATCCATTTACGCCCAAACGCTGTACACGCAGTCGTTGATTACCGTCGATCTACAAAGCCAAAACGACGTTGTTCAGACTGTGATACCATATGTCTATCAGTGTCAGTCAAACGGTGAAATGAAATTGTGTACATTTGGTGTAGAATTAATTACTCTATCGAAATTGAACAGATGTTCATTTATATATGCTTTTCTTTTCTTTTCACGTTTGGTCAAAAATAATGTATACTTACTTTTTAGCACTAGTTTAAATAACTTGAACACAGTATTATCTTGAAACACCAGGATTAATGTGTAATCTTCGTAGATGTTGTGAGAATTACTGAGGGAGACGATTGTGCAGATGCTTCTATATTAATCACTTCACCTAATAATGGCACAGAGTCTGATGATGACAGTGGGTGAGGATGATGGGTGAACTACTGACAACATGACAGGTTAATTTTTTATGTTTAAATGAATTGACAAAATCTACGATTGGCTAAACAATCTACCACTGGCTAAAGTTGAATTTATAATAATGTATGCATCTTAATAGAGGGAACTGATATGAATTTACAAGGGAAATGTCACCTTTGTTAAAATATTGTACTGGGGACCTTCGCCCCCATGCACCCTATTAGGGTGCTGAAACATATTTTGCAATTTCTCAAAAAGAATATACAAATAAGTTGAAAAAAACACTCAATTGTGTTCATTATAACCTAATGGTAAAACTATATTTGAAAATAAGCAGTGTTTAAAAAGTTGAGCATTATGGTTTAACCCCTTTGATGCATACCCTATTGTCTTAATCAATCCTTCTTAGATATATGTAAGTCTGTTCTTTGATCTAGTACTTCACTATTGCTTGACATGTAAAAGTTTGTTTGTTATTTTACAAACGCGATTGGGATACGATGCCATGTGTCAACCAAGTCAGCGAGCCTGACCACCCGATCCCGTTAGTCGCCTTTTACGACAAGCATTGGTTACAGAAGGTTCATTCTACCCCGGACCTCCGGGCCGATGAAACAAAGTGTCATAGTAAAAAGTGAGCATGTCCTGTAATTACGATAGTACCCGCCTTTCATATGATGTGACTAATAATGTATGTATTTAAAGGGGCGGTGGGGTAGCCTAGTGGTTAAAGCGTTGGCTCGTTTCGCCGAAGACCCGGGTTCGAAGCCCATTTCTGGTGTCCCCCGCCGTGATATTGCTGGAATATTGCTAAAAGCGGCGTAAAACAAAAACTCAATCAGTCAGTTTGTATTTATAGCCTAACGCCGCACAGTAGTGCTCCTGCCATGCGACTGTTTTCAGTAAACATGGGTAATTCGTGGAATTCGTACACGCAATTAACACTGTAGTTTTAAAACGTTTTATCTTCACTGGTATTTGGTAAATTTGTGCACATGAAAACTCAACCACGCCATTAACAAAGAGGCACGCCTGTATACATGACGTCAATGTAGCATCTGCCATTGTTTGCAGAAGCAACTCAAATTCACAAAATGGTTTCTATCCATATTTACTTAGGTTTAGAAGGTCTGCTGTGCTAACAACGCCGAATATTTGGACAATGCAGAACCGTGCTGTAAGGGTTGCTGTAACAGAATATGTAAAAAATGTTAATGTAAAACTGTGGTGAACCTCGAAAGATGCAGAGGTGACAAGGGCTCTCGTGTCCGTTTATAAAAATGTTGAATGGGTCCTCGCTCTTTCAGATACGAATTAAACACAAAGATTCAACTAGTTGTAAATTTTGTCTAGTCATGTCCGTATTGTTAAGCTGAAAGGCCGTGAAGGGTAATATATATGAGGTCATACATGATCATAATTGAAAAGATGGGTTCTAAATAACTTCGAAAATTGTCAGTGGCTTTGAAATATGAAATATGTACTGGTTGTCTGAGGTCTTGTTTAAGATGCCAATGCATGACTGATCAAAGGGTAAAAACGCCTAGTATTTTCCTTTTCAATAAAACTGAGTGAATGATGTTTTATGTCAATCAGCAGTAGTCCAGTTGTGTGACGATGACCAAGTAACGTAATGCATGTATTGGAGTCAAACCAGTGATTCGAGCCATTGGGGGACACACAATGAGCAAGATCATCGAGGTAAACCAATTGTTTCTTTCTATACATATGTACCGGAGACGAGGACAATATGGCTACTTCATATCCCAGAGACGGTTGTACCGGAGACAAAGACAATATGGCTGTTTCATATATCAGAGACAGTTGTACACGAGGCAGATAATATGGCTGCTTCATATCCCAGAGACAGTTTTACCGTAGACAAAGACAATATGGCTGCTTCAAATCTCACACACAGTTATACCGGAGACAAAGACAATATGGCTGCTTCGTATCCCTGAGACAATTGTACACAAGACAGACAATATGGCTACTTCATATCTCAAAGACAATATGGATGCTTCATATCTCAAAGGCAATATGGATGATTCATATCCCAGAGACAGGTGTAAGGAGACAACGACAGTATGACTACTTCATTTCACAAAGACAGTTGTACCGGAGACAAAGACCATACGGTTGATTCATATCACTAAAGAAGTCATATTAATGATAAAGACACATTGGTGTATTACATAAGCTATGTCCTTAACTGACAAAATTTCACCGCATGCAGTCATAAGTTATTTTGATTTACAGCAGCAACCTGTTACTGACATCGTCCCATAAAGTCTAAAATAGGCGTATGCTTGCTAGACGTGCATGACTCAACAGACCCATAGGACTTAATATGCCCGTAGTTGAAAACCTAAACGGTTAACGGGTACAATTGATTGTTTAAATGTGTATTGTGTGTTGTGCCGGGACATTACAAACATTACAAACATTACATACCAGTAGACTTCAAAATGTTGAACGCCAAAAGAGGTTACTGTTCTGCGAGTCAGCCATGATGCTTCGTTTGAGAATAGTTCAGAGACATCATAACTTTACAAATATCTACGAATAAATATATGATTGGGTTAGTGAACTATATCGCATCTTTCACGAATAGCTGATCAGTATAAAAAAAAAAATCTATGAAATGATATATGACCCTTGGATTGTCTGGTCCAGATTATTTACAGACCACCGTCATATAGCTGGATTATTGCTGCGTGCGGCGTTAAACAATATACAAACAAAACCGTTGTCAAGCAAGCGTATATACCAGAGTATATAACTTCCCAGTGTATACTCTGTTGTCCTATAATATCTTGGCTTCATCCGTTCATTGTTATCTTTGTACATTAATCCTATCCAATTGGTTTCTTATTATGTTGTTATTCTTGTACATCACTCCACCCCCACTCTTGGATTTGTGTACACAATACATTGTTTTCTTTATGCATTAATCCAATCTTATTGGCTTCGTAATCTTATTGGCTTCGTAATCTTATTGGCTTCAGTATTATATTGTTGGCTTCGTAATTATATTGTTATCTTTGTACATTCTCCCTCCTTGCATTGTGTAAACATGTTTTATCTATATATATTCACTCTTTGTACTGATTCAGTATTCACCTGATGAAGGAGCAAGAATTAGCTCTGAAATGTCGTGTAAAGAATAAAAAGAAGTTGTTATCCATAAAGTGTCATGTATTCAAGCGTGGAGCACTAGAGCACAGAAAAGACTTGCGTACATCTAACAGGGAATAATTAGGACAACAGGGTATACATCAAAGAGATTAATTAACAACTACATCGTTTTTGCTTTATAGATCGACGGCCGGCAACGACTGCGTGTACAGCGTTTGGGCGTAAATGGATGTACCCGTGACTAATGATATAACTATGTAAGCCTTTGTCTAACTAAGTAACACGTTGAGAGCACTTC